AGAAGCAGTTTCCACACCAAAGGAAGAACACTCTCAGAAGTTTAAAATACAGCAAGAAAAAAACATAGGGTTAAACTATAAACTAGGAAAAGTGCTGTCCTGTGGAACAGAGAGCAGTTTCCACTGCATTGAGAACCCGCCAATATATATCATATCAATAAAAAGGAGCTCTTCGAAAGCTTGCATAGTAATTGAGATTGGAGATCTTTTTTGATATGGGTTGGCATTTCCTCATATCAATCTGACAGAGCCAACTCAGGAAATTGCTGGTAATATTCATCTGGGGAGCAGTTTCATTAAACGTAATTCATTCGACTTTCACAATAAATTGAGTGACATCCTTACAGCAGAACCTTTTTATCCTTGATGAAGTGCTTGCCAGCCTTTGGTTTTCCACTTTATTGTCACATTCCTTAAAGCAGAATCGTCAACATGTCAATCTGCTGCATGAAAAAAAATGCTAAAGCTGTATTTACAAAGCACCCAGGAGGTAGTTTAATGCTGTCTTATAAGAAGAGAGAGTTGAGAGTTAAACTATCTGATAAATCACAGCATAACTTCACCCAAGCCCAATCAAGAGAACAGAAGCCAATCCTACACAGGGAAGGATGGCTCACACATTCATTTTCTCCAAGTGCTGGCTATTCCGAGCAATTGGTTTCTTAACCTGCTTCACCGCACTTTCCAAGACGACTGGGAAATTGGCTTTTTGTTAATTAAAATGGCGGTTTAGAGATGCAGGGATGTATTAAAGGGCTTAAAATGGATACCTCTACGTACCAACTTGGAAGTTTTGGCTATTCAAAGAGGTGGGGATACTGGATTCTATTCAGGTGCGTGCCTGAAAGGTGAAAACTACTCGGAACTGCCTTCTCCAGAGATGAAAGCAGCGTGTGCTAAGCAGCAGGAAAATAAATTTCAGTGCAGAGGAAACCCTGCTTAAGTTCCTAGGACGATTCTTGTGGTTGGGAATGAAGGAAGTGTGCAAAAAGAATAAAGTAAAAAAATGCATTACTGAATGCCTAACAGAAAATTAGAGCACAGGGAAGTTTACTTCACCAGGTGCAAGTGATTCGAGACCGATTTCTATTCCTGTGCCCCATCTTCCGAAAGGGTAACTGTTTCCCCTACACCACTGCAGATGCGTCCCAAACTCTTTTAGGGAGGGGGTAGCGGGAGTGTCTCAGGAACGTGTCAACTCTCCAGCACAAAAAAGCCACTTCTCTCCCCCAGCCCCCGCCAAGAGCTCTCCCCCCTCCACGCCGCGGACGTCAAATTGAAAAATGCAAGAAATCGCTTGTTTGAAAAAAATAAAAAGCAATAGCAGAATGCTTTCAGCACCGAATGCCTCTGAGAAAATACTGTGGGTGGTGATTATGACAGGACAATACCTTCCCTCTTTTTTGTTTTTGTTTTGTTTTGTTTTCTTTTCTTTTCTTTTATCTTCGCTGCCTGTAGAGCTGTTGGTTTGTTGTTTTTTTTCCCTCCCACATCAAAGTAGGACGCAATTAGCAACTATCTTAAAAAATGGAAAAAAAGAAAAATCTGCTTATCGTCGTAGCACGTGATATCTTTGCACGTTCTCCATAGCTTTCATTAACCGGGGTGAAATGACCGCAAACAGTGCGACACGGAGCGAAATTAAATGTACACAAACTGCGGAGCCTCCAACCCCCCGCTTACCCCTTCAGCAAACACCGCACCGAGTGTGCCACCGCTGAGAACAATTGGAAACAGCTCTTCTTCGCGACATTTTTTCAGGAGAGCCTCACTCGGCTGTCGGAAGGCCTCCAATCGGTGTGAAACGGACCTCAAAATCCCACCGACACAAGAGGAGGTTCGCAGGCTTTTTGCACATACCTCTGCCAACGCCGTCGCCCTGTAAAACACTGAGCCCAGGAGAAGCTCCCCCGCGGAGCAACCTCCTCGCAGCCCACGTCGGGGGTGCGTGTGGGGGTGGGGGGAATCATGATTTGCCCTTGTTCCGTTTAAGTGCTGCACGGAGGAAAATCTCCCTACCAGAAAAAGCTTGTGTCGAGCCTAATCGACAAACCCGCTGCTCCGGGCAGGGAGCAGGCAGAGAGCAAGATGGGTGATCCCAGCAGAAGAGGCGCGAGCTGCTGTTCCTTCCTCGCAAGGGGTGGGAGGCTGTCCCCGGTGTCTGCAGTGTAGCAGAGCCAGGAGCGCGGCGGGGCCCGCAAGCAGCGGGCGGTGCGGGATGTCGCGCTGCGGGCGGCAGACGGGGCCAGAGCTGCCCCTGCCGAGAACCCGCCGGGCCCCGCTAGCACCGAGTGGCTCCGTGCAGCCTGCGGGAACGGTCTGCCTCGGCCTTTTGGCCCGTTCCGGAGGTGGCCCGCCGAGAAACAAGTGGTTGGGAGCTTTGCCGGCTTTACCAGCAGCTTTGCTGTGCGTTTTGTAGTCACCTCTGCATGTTGCTTCTACCCCGGGAAGAAGAAAGTAAGGAAGAAGGAAATAAAAGCTGGGAAAGACAACCTGGAGTTTTGGTTTGCCGTGGTGTCAGGAAGAAAATTCACCATCAGCTAAGTGGGAATTAAGCAAGAAGGTTTCAATGAAAGGAATAGTGTAGGACGCCGGTGTCCTTATGTACAGACAGAAATGAAACCCAAAAAAGAAGGGAAAAAAGTCTCCAGTCTCCAAGCGGTCTTTTCTCTCTAAATATTTGCACGCTTCCTCAATGACAGTTTTGAGCTGGGCACAGCACTGATAGCTGAGAAAACATTACTCATTAGAATACCACCGAGAAGCTTTGGAAAGGACAGCGAGGTGTCTCGGGGTAAATCCATCCGAGTGTGGCATTTTGAACACTTTGTGCAGCTATCTAAATCTGAAGGAACAAAATCACTGTGGCCCGTGGAGATTAACTCCTAATTCTACCGCATAAATACAGAGCCACCCGTTTAGGCCAAAGGCAGCGCGCTCCCTGTGCAAATCAAATGCAATATTTGCACTACACCGTGTAGCTCAGAACAAGGAGAAAACACATGTCTTGCACAGGCTACTTAATGTTCTTATCAATAAGCATAATACAGCCAAGCAAAATTCCCACTCATTGCGGTCAGCTGTGACCTCTATAAATCCCAGGCAATAAGGCGGAATGGCATACGGCTCTATTAAAAGGAGGGAGGGAAAGCAGAAGCACTTCTCTGTCTTTTCTTTTTTTTTCTTTTTTTTTTTTTTTTTTCCCCTAAGATTTCAGGAAAAGGTTGAACGGTGGAAGAAGAGCAGAGCAGTTCGCCGGGTCGGGGGGGTCACACAGTGGCAGTGCTGTAACGGGGAAGCTCGGGGCGTTCGCTGAATGCCGCCGGGTTCGGGAAGGGGGGACGGCTGTCCTCTCGCCCACAGACGTCCTGCCACAAACTCAGTGGGAAGCTGATTACGTCGTCATTTCGTTTACCCTTCCTAACAGGCTGGGCACCGGCAATCTAGTTCCGAACTGAGTCCAAGCAGAGGGAGAACACCGAGCGCTGCTGCGTGGCGCTGCGGGAAGAACTCGGCGCTTCCACGCGATCACTTTATCACTGCGAGGGCCCAACGCGAACTTTCCGACTGACTCCTGAATGCAGAGAGGGGAGAGAGGGGCCGGCATCTCCAAGTGGGGACCGACGGAGAGAGGGAGAGGAGCCGATGGGACGGAGAAACACTCCGCACCCCCCTGGATGTTCCGGCCGAGGAGCGCATCTCCCCTCCCCCCTTTTGCCTTTTATTCCAGATTTTTTTTTTTCCCATATTCTCATTGTTTCAAAGGAAACTAAATATATATACATATCGTCTCCTTTGCTCACTGATGCCAAGCCCGAAAAAAAAAAAAAAAAAAAAAAAAAGCATTCAGGTAATGAAGTCTGTAACTAAACGGTAATTGAATCAGCATAATTTGCACACTGAATGGTTTTCAAATGCTCCCAGTTTACAATTAAAGGAGAATTAATGCGCTTGTTGTTCAGACTGCGGCGCATTAGAATAAATCCAGCGCTGTTGTTGTAATGAGTCGAGAGCAGTTTAACTGCCAGCAAACACATTTAAAATTTAACACGACGTATCGATCTCGCTCCGGTTCTTTGATGGATTGTTCGCCGCGCGCGTTTTTCCCGGCTCTCCCCATCCCTCCTCCACACAACCGGCGGGAGGCGACGCCTGGGGATGCAGGGCGGCGGGAGGGCGCGGGACGGGCGCGGGCCCCAGAGCTGCGCGGCCGCGGGAGAAGAGCGCGCGGACCCGCCGAGCCCCGCGCCCGCCCGCGATTGGCTGCCCAGCGGCGGCTGAGCCGCGCAGCGCTGCGCCGCAGCGCCCCCATGCGGCGCGGGAGCGCCAACGCAGGCAGACGTGGAACGGGGAGCGCCGCCGCCCCCGCCCCCGCCGCCCCGCAGCCGCCGCCGGAGCCGCGGCTGGAGCCTCCCGCGCACGGGAGTCGGGGTGCTTCGGCGGCTGCCGCTGGCCGAGGGTCTCTTCCATCCCCTCCGCCCCAGGGATGAACTAACGCCCGGCGTTCGCTCGCTGAAAGCACCGCAGGCAGCGGCGCGGGCTGCAGGGAGCAGCCTGCCCGGTTTTGTTCCTCGCGATTGCGAAGGGAGCCAAGTGTGCGCTAACGGAGATAACGCCTCTGTGTACCCGCGTTCCCCCGAGAACCCTAAAGGAGGTTCGCCACGGAACTCAGCGGCGCTTCATGCGGGGGCACTCGCTGTGCCGGCGCCGGGGCTGCGGAGAGGTGGGGCACGAAGTTGCTCCGGTCCCGAGCCCCAATGGAAGCCTCGCGGCAGCCCCTCAGGCACCGGGAGCCTGGCACCTGGACCCTGCGCCCTCTGCCCTCCGGCTGCGCGTCCCTTCCCCGGGGACGAGAAGTTCCGGCCGTGCCCTCCGCTCCTCCGCCGGAAGCCTCCCACAGAGCCCCGCTCCCCTCCGGCCCTGCCCGGCCGCGGGCTGCCGACAGCTGCCGTGAGTTTGTTGGTTCTCCGGCGCTCCCCGCTGCCGGCCCGTGCACTCACCAAGTAGAAGGTGGGCTGCAGCAGGAGGACCGCGCACCAGTACACAGCCTGCATCCTCGCCGCTCAAACTTCCCCCGCGCTGCCTTCGCTGCCTCTTTGTTCCCCGCAGAACATAGATCCACCTGACATCCACTTTACGGAACAAGCGGAGCTCTCACCAGCCTAGACAAAAATGAAATTATAGACCTCATGACCACAAGGCAACGTTAGGCTCGAGACAAGGGGGGATGAGAGGTGTGTAGGAAAGGGGGGGGCGGGGGAGAAGAAGGAGACGGGGTGTGTGGATGGGGGTGGAGGGAACGGAAAACGATTAAAATCTAATTAATCCGGCGGCAGAGCGAAGTGACCTCCCGGTCCGGGCTGGCTGCGGAGCGCCCGGCGGCTGCGCTCCCCGCGTCGGAGCCGGGCTGGGGAGCCCCGTAGTGCGGCCGGGACGGCCCGGGGATGCCATCGCCAGCCCTGCTCGCCCGCCCTCGGCGGGGGCCGGCACATGGACAAGGACAGGAGGTGAGGGGAGCGGGGCACTGGCTGCTCCCCGTGGGCGAAGAGCTTCATCGCCGGGCCCACCGGACAGCTCCGCGACCCCCCACGCCCAAGCGCCCACCTCCCTCCTCTCGCCTCTCCGTGCCTCGCTCAGTGTCGGGTCCGCGCCCCGGAGCGCCCCGACGGGCGCTGCCCCCCAGCCCCGGCCCCAGCCCTCCTCCTGCCCCGCACCCCGCGGGGGGGCCGCGGCGGGGATACGTACGGCATGGGGGATCCGACGGCTCCGCGGGGCGCTCCATGGGCGAGCCTAGAGGGGCCGAGCGCCGCGGCGCAGCCCCCCGCCCCTGCGCATCTCCTCGCCGCGCTCCGCGCCGGGCTGTCCCGCGGCCGCTGGGCATCCGGCGCAGGCACTGGCGGGGCGGTCGGCGGGCTCTCCCCCCCCTCCGCCTCCCCTTCTCCGCGCACAGTCGCGCACGGCTCCGCCGAGCAGGAGGACACTTACGGGAGGAGGGAGCTGCCCCGGCTGCCCGCTCGCTTTCGGTGGGGGGCGCGGGCAGGAGCGGCGGCAGCGGCGCTCCGGGGCGTCCAGGGCGATTTGTCTCTATTAGAAATGACTTATTGGCTAGGGAGCGGCGAGCGCCCGCTGTTTAACTTCCGATAAAATCTATCTGCAAAGACCTTGGCCGATCATCTTAAAATAAAGCGCCGGAGCCGAGCGCTGTCCGAGCCTCACTGCTTGGGGAGTGAGAAAGAGCGGCGGAGGGGGGAGGAGGGGGAGGCTGGTTCGGCGGAGGGGGAAGGGAGGAGGGAGGAAGGGGAGTTCAGCGGCGTCCCATCCTCTCTTCTGCACGGGGTGATGAAGCAGAGCCTTCCCCGAGCGAGCCGTGAGCTGCCTGCCGCGCCCGCGCTGCCCGCCGCGCTGCTGCCCTGCCCGGCGCCTGCGGAGCTCCTCGGCCTCTTCTCTTTCCTTTCAGTTTTTCCTCTACCCGCGGGGGTGTCCCGTGCGGCCGCGGAGCCGCTCAGCCCGCAGACCGATCTGGGTGACGGCTGCGGGAGCCGAGCTCCGGGATTAAAGGGACGGTTTCCCCCCGCCGGCAGAAACCTGTGGCTGGGCAGACCCTCGGAGCGAGGCTGGAAGGCGCATCCCTGCCCGGTGCTGCGGCGAATCCCGCCGTTTGTCATGCAAGGAGAAAGGTCTCATCGACCTTGCTTTCCTTCTTCTTCACAAGTCCTCCGGGTTCTTTTCCTGCCCTCTTCCACATCCCCCACTTCCCCCCCTCCCCCTCCTCCTTTCTCCAGCCCGTGTCTTACCAATGTGACATTGGGACAGGGTGAAGGGGAGGACACCAACAGCACAGGGCAGCCTTCCCAGATCCCCAGCCTCGATAGCAAAGCTCAGATTTATCACCTCCCAAAGGGGAACCAAGAAGCAAGCCAGCATGCTGCACGGAGCGGGCAACTGGAGGGAGGGAGGACTTCAGCTGTCCTGCCAAATCCTTGCTTCTCTCAGAGCATGTCCTTGTACTTAGCATTTGCAATCTGAGGCTTGAGGACCGATTGTAAAATGCTGTTTTAATCTCGGGCCCTGAGTTTGGAATACTAACATAGAAGGGGAGTGGGCAAGGTGGTGAATCCCCTCTGGAAGGGCAGCACCATAGTTCCCCCCATGGCCATTCCTTCTCCAGACACCTGGAAGACGGACATTTCCATATGGCTCCAGCACCAGCCCTGTCAGACATGTGGGACGCTCACGTCACGGCTTTGAACAGAAGCATGCAGCCTGCAAGGAATCCTGCTGTCATCCTGCCCCTCAGACAGCCCCTGCAATACCATGTGGGCTCCAGCAGCCTGGGGACTTCTTGTTTCAAAGGTGTAACAAATCAAAAATCACAGCTGACTTATCCTTACTGCTAACTACCACCTTCCTATCTTTTCCACTCCTATTTTCTTATAAGTTGAGAGGCTTTGTCTGCATTTAGTACACAATCTATAGGTAGAAAGAGAAATGGTCCTCTCTTAGCACAGAACAAACTTGCCATCAGCTGAGTGGAGCTCACGGACTATCTACTCTATGGGTCTTTGCAAGATGCAGCTTTTATGCATGTAGACCCAGCATGGTTACTCTTACCTTAGATGTGAGACTGCCAGGTTCATGTTGAACAGGAGGAGCAAACACGAAGTCTGACTGATTGCCAGGGGCATGTTGCTGAGGAACATACAGCTTCCTCCAAGGCGGCTCTTTCCTGCAGCCTGCACAGCTTGATTCAACCTCTCCAAGACTGGATCATTAGTGTCTTCATATCAGAGGTGGTATGGAAGTAGACCTTGGAGAGGAATTCTTCTTTTGTCTGGGTGAATTTAGGTCTCTGCAGTCTTTCTCCCCTAGATCCTGTATCCCAGTTGGGTGAGCTCTGCAGTAGAACCCTGGGGCTCCATTGAAATCATAAGTGTGGCTCCTCTTTATTTCAGCTCACTGAAATCCCCTCCCCCTGGAAACTCAGCAAGGTCTACTGTGAACAAGCCCGTATGTTGTCTACCTGAGGCATCAGAAGTCTCTTGAGGTAAAGGTCTTAAGAGGGAATGAATCCATTTCCTAACAGGCAGGGACTGACCAACACTTCACTGTGGGCTTTCTCACTTCAGCTGACATCCCCACCTGAGCTCCTTAACTACAGAGAAATCAAACTTTCCTTCAGAAAGGCCAGTTGGATCGCTCCCCTCTGTTGTCACTCCAAAAGAAAGAAGCAAGAATGATCGTTTTTGATTGGTCTTTTCTGCTAAAAAATAAAAAATAAAAAAATCATAAATTGGGTTTCAAAGGATTCCAGCTGTTAACCTGTGATACTTTTTCAAAGGGAATGGCACTGCTTATCTGACATTTAGGATTTTTCGACATGGTCATTTGACTTTTATCTGAATCTGTAATATTGGCAGAGCAGCTTAAGTGAAATATTAGATTTTTAAAAGTTAATTTTAATTCTAACCATTTGGATACTGCAATCCTAGCAACAAGGTCCCCAGCAAGGTGGTGTCAGCCGGTGAGGTTTTAAAGAATCACAAATTCTGGGTTTACTAATGGACTTTTAAAAAGTCCAATTAGACTTTAAAATGCAATTGGACTACTTTTAAAGCTTTGAAATATATTCTGACCTTTAGGTAGCTTCCCTGTTATTGCGAAGAAAGCTTCCCAGCTTTCAGAACTGAAAGGGTCACAAGCGGAAAATCTGAAGACAATGGCAAGTGATTAATAATTGCTGGAGGTTCCAACAGAAGATGGGCACATGATTTAATTGCTTGAGGCACTAGAGGAACACACAGTGCTGTAATGATAAATATCAAATGACTGGGCTAAACCTGCTGTGCGATGTAGCTAACCCACCTGCACATTATACATGAAAGCAGTCAGTAGATCTGGATGTCATGCAATACAATTCGAAGAGCCTAAGTATCTTCTTTTGGAAATAATCCTTTATATATATGTATGAATGTATGTATATATATATATGTGTATACATAAAAAGAAAATAAAGCAAAGAAGCCAAGATGGGCTGGAGTACTGAGTGATGAAGCAAGCCCAAAAAGGCAAAAACCTGATGCAGCTCAAACAATTTTGCAGTCTGCCCTCAACCAGATTTTTCTCAGTGTTTCAGTGTTACAACCAATGCCTGGGTTGGGAATTTTGGTTTGGTTAACGTTTATAAAAGCTTTGTCCCATCTCTTTAAAGGATACACAAAATGTTAGCAATTACTGCCTTTAAATAAATAAAAAAATCAGCCTGTGCAGTGAGCAAATATCATCTCATCTATATGCACACTGAAGTACCGTTGAATTCAACTAGAGTTGCATATACACAACAGTGACAGATTATGGCCTCCACAGCTTTTCTATATTTGTACTATACAGTATATGGGCCAGATGCCTCATATCACTCATGTAAATAATCTTACTGAAATGTTCTTCATGCTGCCAACCATTCATTCATCAGACCTTCACTTCTTATCCCTTCCCCTCTTCACAATTTCAATAGATTTTGTTTGGTTTCAAGGAAATCTTCATGTTCAGAGTATTTTTATTGTCAGTATAAATACTACAAACAGATCCTTTGCCACATTTTATTCCATTCCTTCAAGGTCATAATATGACTGTATATTTTATTTGTACATCCAAATATTTTTTAAAAAATCTCTGTGAGACTTCTATTTTTATTACATTGATTCCTGCCTACTTACTAAAACGTACCATAAAGTGATGCTACTCTGTATTCCATATGGAAAAATACAGGGATACTCCAATCACCTCAATGGAAACACCTTGAATTCATGGTGTTCTTAATTGTTTTTCCTGTCACTATGTCAGGAGGAATCATGAAATGCTGGAGTGAGATGTGGCATGCAGCATCAAAGATGACTAAAAGGTAATGTACTAACAGTAGTGTCTGGATCACTCAATGCTTCTGTGATATAAATATGACCAAGCCTACAGGCTTCATTGGGCTAATTACAGGTGACACTCTGTGCACACTCAGGATTTTTCCCAAAATACTTGAGATGAGGTGAGACATAAACTATTG